GTTTTCTTGTAATATAAATTTTTGCTGTTTTTATTTCATTTTTTTTCTAAAATTTGCCCATTTTTCCCCTGAATTTTGACACGTACATGTAACTCGAAATATTTGGTGATGGGAATTAGCTTAAGTATTTTACACAGCATGAGAATACAATGTGCATGTGCATGTATTTACATGTAATTAAATACTGTATAGCATGAAATTTTAGAGGGAGTTAAATTTGGCAAATTTGGCGTTTTGATAGCCATTTTCCAAAATAAAACTCACCATTTTCAGCCATTATATGCATGCTCAATGTCAAGTGGCCACTAATTTGTGAAATTAAAATTTGCCAATCACCAAATTTAACTCCCTCCAAAATTTCCTGCTGTACAGTATATGTAATGAAATTAGTAATTAATATTCTGGATTTTATTAAATTCAATTACACTGTCTCTTTCAGAGGTTCCCTGTCATGGACTGGTGATATATTATGTAGGGGGTCAATATTACAGTGGGACCCACGTCTACCAGGTGATTATTAGACCACACCCATGATCAAAGTCTGTGGGACTCACTGGTCACCAAATCATCAGCAACTCATGTTAGGAGGAAATAATAATTATTATAGTGAGTTTATGATTTTACAGGCCCGTAGCCAGGGGGGGTTTGGGGGATTCGGACGAACCCCCTGTTGTAGCTGCAAAAAAGTTTTAGATTAGCTCCTGTCATGAAGAACAGCACTGCAAAAGCAGGATTAGCATTTTCGCAACAGCGAGAAGCACAGATAGCCATTTTAGCTGAGTCAGCACATGGCTGAGATGCGTAAATTAAGACCACGCCTACCAACTACGCCCATTTTCGTCAAAATTTTCGCTGCGCGCTTTGCGCGCAGCAATTTCCGAACCCCCTATTTTAAGTTCCTGGCTACGGCCCTGTTTTATTAATTTTATTTATTTTACATGGCTCCAAAATCGCTTCCATTTTTACATTGATGTCCTAAGGCTAGCTTTGTTCATGTAGAAAGTTTGAGCTGATTCTGCCTAAAGTTTTTAAAGTTATGGCCATTTTAAGAAACAATTTTTGAAAAACACCTTGTACTATAAATATAGCTTATGCTTTTTTCAAAATGACCCTCATTTTAAAAACATTTTCTGATAGATATTGATGTCCTTATGTTATGTAGAAAGTTTGAGCTGATTCAGACTATAATTTTTGAGTTATGGCCATTTTTTAAAAGTGAGCCAATTTTGAATAATATCTTGCTCATGGTTTTTTCAAAAATGGGTCCATTTTTTATTACATTTTCTGATATACATGTATATTGATGCCCTTATGCTATGTAGAAAGTTTGAATGATTCCAATAAATAATTTTTGAGTTATGAACATTTTAAGAAACGCCAATTTTTTGCCTGCTACATTCATTTGTGTATAGCTAATAGCAAAGTAAATTGTAAATTAATAAAGAATCAATTAACTATTTGTCGGTACAGTACAGTTAGTATAGATTAATGGGGCTTTATTTTTGATCCATTTAGTATTTTTTTAATTGACCATAAGATGATAGTTAATGTATGAAGTACATGTACACGTATGAACCATAGCCTATGCCAGTAATATGAAAAAGTTACCTTAAAGTTGCTTTCAGCAGTTAGTAGTGGGCAGCTTTGATATCTGATATCTTTGTATGAAAATATTTTTAAATTGGGAAATTATTTTGGGCAGCTTCGATATCTGATATCCTTGTATGAAAATATTTTAAAATTATTGGGAAATTTTTAAAATAATTCATAATTTGTTTCTAAGAAAGCTAATAATTGTCAATATCCTTCTGTAATTTTATTTCTTAGAAAGCATCGATCTACATGCATAATAGCAAATTTCTGAAATATTTAGGCTGGTCGATGATATCAGTCAGTAAATATGTAGAGCTATGCATACATATTATTTACTGATATGCTTTTAATACAAATCAAACAGATCATTGATTCCTTGTAGTCCAATATATGGAGAATGAGATGATGATAATTGAGGATGAGTCCTGCTCCTAGTAAAATTAATACAATATTAATTGTACCCTGAACTAACATGAAGCCTGCAAAAAGCCAAGAACATAGTACAGCGTATTTCATCAAGAGTGGTTAAGAGAGAATTCTCCACTTTATTACATTTTTTGATGCATATACAATTTTATGCTGTGCATGTAGTTTTGCAAAGTTACGTACAATCTAGTCTAGCTGCATGTATATATTTATGAAGTGACTGTGTCTAACTATTTTTAAAAGACTAAGTCAAGAATTAAGTTAAAAATTCCTTCTGTGCAGCTTAATTCTAAACTACTTTGCACAATCATTGACACTGTTGAAGTTTTATTACCATTCTTACCCAAGTCATACTAGATTCTGTACAGCAATTGTGTTTGTATAGTGTTTTATTTTTGCTGATTTTGTGCTCTTACTTTAAGTTGAACACAAATCCTGAATATGAAATTCTTAGGAATTAAACTATTGTGGCAACAATCATTTAGGACGAAAACCTACAAATCTACTTCCTGAAGTTCCTGTGTTAGCATTAATGCTTCCTGCCATGGCTTCTATTTAAACTCATTTAGTTTTGTTTTCTTCAGATCTCCCGCTCACTCTCATCTCATCTCCTTTCTTCTTTTTTATTGTTTTTCTTACTTTATAGGCTGCAGCTAATATCATAAGATGATTTCTGGTTTTTCCACTATTGCTGCTGCAGTTGTCATTCTATTGTGCATCACTGATCAATGCACAGCTCAAAATACTAACTGCTCTGCTCTGGCCACTGATGGTGACTGCAATTTTTATGATTGCTTGAGTACTAAATTCCGTTGCGATGGCAAGGATTATCCTCTTCGCCGTGGTAAACCTGACTGTCAGAAATACATGAGCGAATCAAGTTGCTTCACAAAATCAGTAAGTACACTGATTGCATTGATGTGTGCCCTACAACCTACTATATTATAGTATTCAACTTTATTGAAAGTAACCTAGGGGTTAGTTGATGTACTCTCCAATAGAATTTCATGCATCAGAGTTGTCGCTAGTAGATAACGTTGGAGACAACTATACATATAGTGGTGGGCAGCTTTGATAACTTGTTGTGTAAATTGATCTCCAATAACCTAAATTTTAATGGTAAAATCCTTGATTGTCTTTGCTGCATGTCATTTTAAGAAAAACGTTTGTAGTAATTGGATATCCTTTTATAAATCTTTTTAAGAAAGCAATCTATAATGATGAAATCTTTATATATTTTTATTGGGCAATTATGGCAAATGCATGCCTTGATGAAATAATTTGCATGTAAATGAATAATTAACATACATTTCATAGTAGACTTGTAAATCAACATATTGTGATTGTGTATGCATCTACCAAAGCAGCAAAAATTTTTAAATAATACAATATTATTTTAGGGTCAAGCATGGCTTTCTAGGGTTCGTAGATGCTTGATGCAGGCTATTGTTAGCAGTTCTCTCTATAATAATGAAAGTGCTACTTGTGATGATTTGGCAAAATTTGCAATTGGAAGTCGTCCTAAATGTTACATCGATAATGGGTTCTGTACAAGTATTTTTTTATCACTTCAATGTCAGAACCTTAATTGTATTCAAAATAGAATTTATCCTGGTAGAAGAAGTTGGAGTAGACAGTCAAGAGCTCAGGTAAGAAAGCATTAGTTATAAGTATTTATTATTATTATTATCATCATCATTATTATTATTATTATTATTATTATTATTATTTTACTTTTATAGATTATAGAGACAACTGAGTCTTGCCCTTCCCAGATTTCTACATTCCTTACTGATGCACCGCAGCAGTGCAATTTGGATAGTCCAGACAGTGCTCTTCCAGCCGTCATACATGATCATTTAGGTATGTACTTCAATACTATGTAAGAGTATGCTATTCTTCTATTTGCACAGATTGTACTGCAAGGGCTTTCGATTTTATGATCTTATTGGATGCATCTGGAAGTGTTGGGGCTGATAACTTTGAGATAATGAAAAACTTTGTTGCAAACATGCTGTCTAACTTTACCATTGGACCAGATGACACTCGTGTTGGAGTCATTAGTTTTGCTAGTAGTCCATCAATTGTTATCCCATTGGGTTCCATTAATACTTATTCACAATTGGCTACTGCTATTAGAGGTATATCATACACTCAAGGAGGCACAAACACTGCTGGAGCATTGGATTTACTAAGCACAGCATTTGCTACTGCTCGTGTTAGTGAAGGTATCTCTCGTGTAGCTGCCGTTTTTACTGATGGAATGTCAAATGATGCTGCAGCAACAGTACAATCTGCTCAAGCTGTCCATAATGACAAGATTACTGTTTTCTCTTTTGGTATTGGAACTGGTGTCAGTAATGCAGAGTTAGTTGCCATTGCTTCAGATGGTCAACAAGGTGTTTTTACTATCAGTGGTTTTTCATCTAATACTTTTCAGGCTGTATTGACACAATTACAACTATCAACATGTTTAAGTAAGTCTTTTTAATAATGTAAATTTTTATTAAGTCAATTTATAGCCCCTACATCATC